ATATAGTAAAATCGCATTTCTGACACTTTTACTTAGTGAACCAAGATCAGTTCAGATAGCTGTTTTTTATATATTTCGTGTTTTTGTCTTTGCCGTTTCATTTTGTTTTGTTCGAACTGATCCGGGTTATATATCGGGTACTTTCATAAGATGCCAGGCTTTAAATAACTCCCTTTTTGGGAGAGTTTTATATATTGATCTATATACTGCATAAGTTGCATACCTTTCGGACATGCCCCCTTGGGTTTAAAAATTGTTCCATAATTCCGAGCAGAATTATGTTGGTCGTGGGCCGGAATTATCTTAATGCTAGCCAAATTAAACAATTAAATGATTAAGAAAAATTTTAGACAGTTCCAATCCCTAGCCCCTAGGCATGTCTTTTTCAAAAAATTTATATATGTAAAAAGTTGTCACGTAAAAAATTTTGGGAGCATGCCTATAGAGCATGCCTCTAAATCAAAAAAACCAGAGGCATGCCTATGAGGCATATCTGAAAATTTCTCTGTGTCCTCAACCCTAATTCTGGATAAAATCATAACCTTAGTTGAACACATAGCATTGTTCCAGAAGCTTTATTGGTCAAAAGCTTACACCAGCTACTGCTATTTATTATAGCTTTGGAGTTATTATGATGGAGATATCACCCATAGATTTAAGAATTTTCAGGTTCTTATATTATGTCACTCCAGAGGTTTTACTGGATTAAAATTTTATCGATATTCAGAGCTTTGGAGTTATTATATCAAGGACGTCAACCGGACAAAGACTTATTTAATATCTTAATTCAGAGGCTTTATTGGGTCAAAAATTTACACCAACTGTCTATGCTTATAGCCTCGGAGCAGGGCTGATGATTTTCTGAGGTGGTTAAGACTAAATTCTGCATGTGGTTAAGACAAATTCTGTGATTTACTGTGATAAATTTTTTGTGCAGTTCTGTAGTGTATTTTGTAATTTCTGCGTAGTTCTGTGATACCATTTCATAATTTCTGCGATTTGATGTGATCTAATTTTCCTAAAATTTTTAAAATTTATAATTCCATAACTTCCCGGAGAACACGAACCTAGTATTTCCCCAAAAAAAAGTTACGTATCTGAGCTTAAATTTAAAATACTGCATTAATTATTAATAATAATGATGACGATCATTATTATTGTATTTTTAATAATCAATTTAATAAAAATGATTTTTCTTTACTTATCAATCGTTACAAATGTCAAGTGAACTAAAGTATTGCAAAAGTTGCTGATCATTTAAAAAAAATGAAAATTTTTCTAAAGAAAAAAGTTGCTATAACAAATGCTTAGAACGAGCAAGAATAAATTCAAATGACGACATGAGAAAGAAAATGAAAAAAAAAATTTTAATACTAAAGAAAATGCTATTCTTTCAAGCGATTTAATACAAGCTATTTATGATTCTTTACTTTCAATACCTGAAATTGATGAAAATTTAGAGGGTGATACTGGATTCTTCTTTGAGTATTGTGTTAATTTTACAGAACTCTTAAATTTTCAGGAAGGCAATTTATCTGATGAATCTGCTATTGCAAATAAGCTTATTGGATATGTTCAAGCAGGTGATAGATATCGTTATATATATCATGATAGAACTATACATAAAAAAAAATCTATTACATTTATTTATAGATGTAATTGCCGTATAGATTCTGGTAAAAAATCACGAAAATATTTAGAAAAAGACAAACAACGTGATACAATACCAAGACTTAGTCGATATGATTGTAATGGAAATGTTTCAATTAAAATTGATTATGAAAACAATTTTGCAATTATTACAATGAATCACCAACTTTTACATACGTGACCAGAAAATATTAATACAACGAATGAAATAAAAGAATATATTTCAAATAATTTGGATTATACAGCATCTGAATTATATAAAAAAATTATAACAAATCAAATGGATGAATATAAAACATTAACTCTAGATCAGGTTTATTATTAGTGGTCAAAAGCTAGTATGGTTCAGTACAAACAAGATAATAATCAATCTTTATCCGCACAACTTTTATTAAAAGAAATGAATTATTTATTTCTTTTTCAATTAACAGAACCAACTGATTCATTTGCATTTTTAATGCCATTTTTTTCTTTATTACCAAAAGTAGCATATGAATGCCTCTTAGTTGATGCTACGTATAATACTAATAAGTTGAAATATGAACTTTACATTTTAATGGCAACTATTGATTATACTAGATTTCCGGTTTCTTACCTTTATATTGCTACTAATAAAAATCGAGATATGAGAGCAATTTTAACAAAATGGTTTTTATGTTTGCGAAATCATGGAATTGATAATGTTAAAACATTTTTATCAGATAAAGATTTTGTACAGATTTCAAGTGCTCAAGTTATATGGAAAGATGTGAATATACAACTGTGTAAATGGCATGTTAATTATGCTATTAAACAAAAACTTTCATCACCAAAAACATCAAGTAATATTTCTTATAATGCTACTAAAGCTAATCGTTAATGTTCCTTTATAGATCCAAAATAGACAAGTGCAAGAAATATATTATCAAATCAAAAAACAAATTCTAAAGTTTTTTGTGTACAATTTTATCAAAATATAATTCTCGAACTTGTAGAA